AGAGCAGCTTGGACTGAAGCAGGAGACCGATCCCTTTATGTTGACTCCTACTTATGAGGACAGTGACCACAGTGAACCAGAACCAGACAGTGACCAGCAGCTTCTCCTTCACAGCTCTCCTGTAGCTGAGAGCCAGGATCAGAGAGGAAACCAGCATGTAGACTCAGGATCAACCAGTGACAGTAGCAATGTGGACAACTCTCCCATGTCACAGACTGAGTGTGATCCTACCACAGGTAACAAGTCCTTCACATGTGACACTTGTGGGAAAACTTGTAGATGTAAGTCCGATTTGAACCGACATTTGAGAATCCACACAGATAAGAAGCCACATGTTTGCAACACATGTGGGAAGAGTTTCACACGAAGTGGTCACTTGCATGACCACATGAGAATTCACTCTGGTGAGAAGCCATATTCTTGCAAAACATGTGGGAAGAGTTTCACTCGTAATAGTTCCTTAAATACCCATGAGAGAATCCACACTGGTGAGAAGCCACATGTTTGCAACACATGTGGGAAGAGTTTCACTTATAATAGTTCCTTAAATACCCATCAGAGAATCCACACCGGTGAGAAGCCATATGTTTGCAACACATGTGGGAAGAGTTTCACACAAAGTGGTAACTTGCATGAGCACATGAAAGTTCACACCGGTGAGAAGCCGTATGTTTGCAAAACATGCGGCAGGAGTTTTACTTGTATTAGTTCCTTAAATACGCATAAGAGAATCCATACCAGTGAGAAGCCGTTTATTTGCGACACTTGTGGGAAGGGATTCAAACGGAGGTCACATTTGACAAATCATTTAAGAATCCACACAGGTGAGAAGTCGTTTATTTGCAACACCTGTGGGAAAGGATTCAGTCAGCGCTCATGTTTGACCACTCATTTAAGAATCCACACAGGTGAGAAGCCGTATATTTGCAACGCTTGTGGGAACGGATTCAAACTGAGGTCACATTTGACATATCATTTAAGAATCCACACCGGTGAGAAGTCGTACGTTTGCAACACCTGTGGGAAAGGATTCAGTCAGCGCTCATATTTGACCACTCATTTAAGAATCCACACCGGTGAGAAGCCATATATTTGCGACACTTGTGGGAAGGGATTCAGACAGAGGTCACACTTGACTTCTCATATAAGAACCCACACCGGTGAGAAGCCGTATATTTGCGGCACTTGTGGGAAGGGATTCAAGTGGAGGTCACATTTGACGAAGCATTTAAGAATCCACACAGGTGAGAAGTCATACGTTTGCAACACCTGTGGGAAAGGATTCCGTCAGCGCTCGTATTTGACCATCCATTTAAGAATCCACACCGGTGAGAAGCCATTTATTTGCAACGCATGTGGGAACGGATTCAGACGGAGGTCACATTTGACAAATCATTTAAGAATCCACACCGGTGAGAAGCCGTATATTTGCGGCACTTGTGGGAAGGGATTCAAGTGCAGGTCACCTTTGATTAATCATTTAAGAATCCACACAGGTGAGAAGTCATACGTTTGCAACACCTGTGGGAAAGGATTCCGTCAGCGCTCGTATTTGACCATCCATTTAAGAATCCACACCGGTGAGAAGCCATTTATTTGCAATGCTTGTGGGAACAGATTCAGATGGAGGTCACACTTGACAAATCATTTAAGAACCCACACTGGTGAAAGGCCGTTTCCTTGCAGCACTTGTGGAAAAGGTTTCACAGAGAACAGGGCCTTGCAGGTCCACATGAAGGTCCACACAGGTAAGAAGTAGGGTAGCAACAGTGTGAGATTTTCCCAGTATGATAACTGTCTTATTGTGATTTCACAGTATCATCATATAACATACACCATTACTATTATTAAAGTAATTAAAACAGAAGGGTTTTTTTTTATAATAAATTGCAAACAGGGTCATAAGTTAACACCCACCAGGAGCAAAAACTGGTAGATTTTCCATTTGGTGAGTAAATCTCAGAAGACCACCTGCCACACTGGTGGGTAAATGTTTGTAGCAAAATAGTCGTGGACTAAAACTGTGTCCTGCCCTGCTTCTGTCTGTGTCAGAGTCTGACATGCACACCCGTGTCTGTGAAGACCTGCTCCTGCTCTGCCTCTGGTTGACTATAGTTTGCATGTTAGCACCAGTAGTGGAGGA